CAGAAATTGGGGTTGTCGCGGAAGCTGTCACAACGCCGATTTAGCCAGTAAGGTTTGTGAGCATGCGCAGATGTCCGTTACGCTCTATTAGTTCGTAGTAGACTGGCCGCGTAGTCAAAACGAAAAATTCCTATTTATGGCTTGGTAACACATTTTCTAAATGTGGCAAAAGGTCAGGGTCAAAGTCATAGCTAGAGGGTCATCATATCTCCGCAACCACTGGTGGTAGAGTGTTAATTTTGGTGCCTATTTGTTCAGAACATTCATGTTTCTATTTGGTCTAATGGAACATGTTGCAAAAAACTGACCGGAAATGCCATTTCTAACCTTTGACATGTTTCAATGTTGCAATAGGGTCATTATATCTCTGCAACCCCTGGTGGTAAAGAGTTAATTGTGGTGTCAATATGTTTGGAACATTAATTTTTCTATTTGGTCTAATAGAAAAGTTTGCTAGAAAATGACCGCAAATGTCGTTTTTGTCCTTATTATCCTCACAACCACATTCATGTTTCTATTTGATTTAATAGAACATTTTTACAGGCCTGTTGAACTTTACACCAGACTTCTGCAAAGGCCATGATTACTATGCAAGTTCACCCACTTACAGTAAGATCTGTCTTCCCATTGGGGAAACCACGTCGGGAAAATCCTGGTGCCACCACTACCTCTTAGGCCTAGTTCAAACTAGGTGGATAAACCCGGCTCAACTCACCGGGTTTATCCACCTGCCAGTCTTGAACTAGGTGGCTTATCTCAAGCCGGGCTGTGTTTCTATAGTGACTAGGACTAGCACGCCACCGTGTTTAACTTTCCTAAGCCGGGCTTTAATCATTGCGGGGGTCTTGCACTGACTTCGGGTGACAAAATGACCAATCAGCATTCAATTACGTACGCTGTAAGCGAGCGTACGTTTCGCGAGCAATGTTTTAAAACACGTTTCCTGATTACGGTTCATTATTATGCAAATTCTCGTCTGAACCCCCCGCAAAGTTAAGCCGGGCTTAACTCAAGCTTATCTCCAAGTCTGAACGTAGCCTTCGAGCTCTACATAACTTTTCTGTTTGAAAGTCTACCATTTCCAACAGAAAGCTTCTCAATACAATGCCAAGTATGTGAGGACAGCTACATGGCCAGCATTTGCATGTCATCAATTCAGTACCAACTTGTGCAATGTTCTCAAGTTTTGTGTTTACAAAAACCATGTCTACACACGACAACACACAAAGAAGTACATAATATTTTAAGGCCAGAGCTGTCCATTACATGGATCTACTATACTTTGCTAAGAATAGTATCAAAAATGGTTTTAGAAAGGCCTTTAATTGGGAGGGTGAACTGTAATAATAACAAAAACTAGATTTGAACTCGTCACTGAGGACGAGTTAGGTGATCCGCTGTACTTTGACCTTCACGCAGCACGCACGGTTCTGAATGAAATTATTATATGCTAAAACATGCTCTATTTAAAGAGTAATTTTGAGCAGTTTAAAAGGAATTTTAAAGAAAAAGAGTAATTTTGAGCATTTTAAGGACTTAAAAATGTGTACACATACGTCTTAACGTCCGTGCGCACGGTAGTATTAATACAGTGTCAGAAACCCAACACATGTAACCGAAACGTAATTTCCAGCTTCAGTACGTGCTGTGGGCGTGGAAATAAGCGTACGGCGCGTAAATTTTGGAAAGTTTTGGAATATTCAAAATGACCTGAAACGTGCTTTAAATTATCTGAAAAGTGATATTAACAATTTTAAAATTTTAACGCACAAGTACGAATAC